TGAGGTGGTGGCCTCACTGACCCATGTCCCCAGCAGCTGCAGAGACCCCAGGGAGATGCTCCATCACTCACTCGGGACAGAAACAGCCCAAATGGGTGCTCAGCTCCAGGTTAAGCCCACTGCTATCCCTCACCCCACATAGGCTGCTGCTGTGCCACCACCCTCCATCTCGTTAGCCAATGCTGCCTCACCATTTCCTACTAGTTTCCTGCCTGCCACTCTGCATCCCAAGTTTTCTCCTCTCAGAGTGTGTGTTTTGGGGGATATGTGCTGTTTTCAGTGTTTGGGGCTTGCATAAGGGGTTGCAGACCACAGCTGGTGGTGCCCAGACTTGATGGTGGCAAAAATACCAACGATGGGAGCTATTGATTTTAGCAAAGTTAATCCTCCTGTAAAAAAGAGAAGGAGCAGCTTGAATCTCTCTAAGATGGCACTTACACTTGAAAAAGAAAAGATAGAAATTAAGGAAATTTTTACCATGGTAGGAGGTGCTGCATGGAATTAAGCTTTGGACCAATACCATATGTATTATGCCCACAATCTGTGCTCATTCTTGATTTTTTGATATAGTAATATGTTTAATTGCCATTAATGTAAACGTTTTAAAAGGTTATTTTCCTGCTCTGTAGGTCAACGGACCTAATGAAGCAGCTCTAAGTGGGTTTGAATTGCTTTGATTAGGTGCTTGATTTCCTGTTTACCTCATGGAAGTGGGTTTGGTCCTGCACAGCTAACGTATATAAAAGCCCCGAAGGGTCTCCTCTGAGCACCAGAACTGGCTGAAATCCTCCGGACGGCTTCAGAGAAGCAGAAAGGTAAGAAGCTTTATGACAGTCTCTCTCTTTAACCTTTTTTTACTCTTTTTTTTGTTTGTTTTTTCCTCCCCCCAAAGTTAACAATGGAAGCGAAGAGTATTTGCGAGTGTCAGGCAGTAGCCGTAGCAGAGCAGGAACAGCCCATGCTTTTGGCAGAGTTTTTCCCAAACTGGTACAAGACTGGCTGTTTTCTTGGTAGCAGTGTACGTGTTGGGTTGTAAAGGGAAAGACCTCAGAGGAGGGTTCAGTGCACGGCGTCAGGCTGGGATCCGCACCTTTGAACATATGCTACGCAGGGAAATGAGGAGCTGCTTAGTTGCTTTTCATGACCTCCTAGCTAGGAATAAAACAGGGAATCACGCTTCTTCCAGAGCAGACTATTGCACAGGGGACTGGAATACCTTCATGTTGCAAAGATCCCATCAGTTGCTCCTCCTTTTGTGAAGGAACAAAATCCTGGGATCAAAAGAGAGTAGGTATTGCAGCAAACCGCACCAGACAGGGCGAGCAGAGCTCGGCTACTCCAGTTCACTGTCACATAGGCAAAGGGGTCTTGTATTAACTCAAAAATCGTTTTTCAAGAGTCTTGGAAAACATGGACTGCTTTCTCTCCCTGTTTGGGTAAACCCAGCAGAGAAGGAGCACTGCCCTTTCTTAAAATTAAGGTTCTAATGCATTTCCTCTCTGAGACTCATAAATAATTACCCTAGGCAGAACACTATTCTTGCACAACTTAACTATTTTCAGATCCATCATCGTACCCACAGCTGTATCACCAATATAGAAAATGAAAAGCAAATAAGAAGGAAAACCTCAGTTATTTAATCATGACACTCTTTC